TTCATTCCATAAACAAAGAGGTTATTTGATATAAACATTCATACGTATGGGTACAACCTGTCTAGTCTAAAAATAGTGTTTAAAGGCCATCTAGAGCAGCATTAAATGTCAAGCTGAGGCTCCCAATACAAAAATCTTGGCTCGATAGACACAATTAATTTAGATTTTTAATACTACACATAAACAGTATGAAGTTTTTAATTTCCATACTAGTATTTCCACGCACCATAAATTTAGTCTGTTGTTTGGTGTAGATAAATTACTTATTACTCTTCTATTCATAGCGAATAAAAAGTAGTTACAGAACTAGAAAACAAAATTTCCTAACCACTCCAGCAATAGATGTAACAATTTTTGTAAATTTTATTAAAATATGTATAAAATGTGTGCAAACAGATAAAAACAATTTATCTCTCTGCTCAACTATTATCCGTCCCTAAATCAACTTTATAACTGCTATTTGTTTACACATAAAAATACATTTTAAAATCATGCAAATTAAAAAAATTTAATAGTAATCTAAAAGTAGTTCTTTCACTACTTTCATTACAAAGTAAGTTTTCATATTTTTTCCTTAATACCTATAACAACTAAGTGCGGCTGTGGTAATTTACATTTTATATATGAGGTAAACAAGTGCTACTAATTAGAAACCAAATCATCAAAGTATAAGAAAACAATAGTAGAACTTTTCTTATTTTTGACTTACTTACTAGTCGAGTCAAAACTTAAGTTTGTTGGGAATATCTTGGACAATCTGCTTTGGTTAGTAATATAAAAATGGAAAAGGTATGCAAGTAACTTGAAAAAAAACTGTGACTTCAGGGGATAAAAAGAGCTATAAAAATAAAAGCAGTTAATAATCATAACACCGAGAGTAAGAATGTTAAAAACACTTATGGAGAGAATATGTACCATGTAAACGTCATCAATTCGAAACATTACAAATGTGATAAAACTTTCAAAATCGCCTCTTTGATTTCAATTCTTTGATTTATGTAAAACAAATTATCTAAAATATTTACTTAATAGCTAAAATTTTAAACCAAATTTTCATAAAATGAAAATTATTATAAAACCATTACATTTTATATTGATGACTTCAATTTGTTTGAAATAAACGACTACACAGTACAGGATGAAAGGGATTATTCAGAAATAGATTTCAAAAAGATAAAAAAATTCTCATAGGGAAATACAAGACTAGTATACAATACAATACAAGCATATAAATCCCGAATGAATCAACTTTCGGTATATTCTGTTTACTTTATAAGGCTGGCTCAGGGGATATATATATACCTGCACATAAAACCGTTCGGTAGACAACTGATAAGAAAGTCATTCAGATGTGTGTTTTCCAGGAAACAAATCATTGCCATTTCCGTACATTTTTTGTGACTGGCTTCCTAAGTGGCAAACGAACAAAAGTTAACTAACATCAATTCAATTTTTTTTCCATTTGAAATCGACTTTAAAGTTATTATTAGTAAGCATGATCCAGTATGGAACCACCACCACCTTGTAGGTATAAACCGAGTAAAAAGTGGTCAACTATATTTTGAATCCTATCTTAATTCCAAAAGTTCTTGATAATAAATGTCCTCTATTACTTCGAAGGGCGATTTCTTTCCAAGATTTCGTAGAAAACTGAAGCGACTGACGCAAATCCTCCGTATCAGTGCAAATACTATAAACATGATTAGAGTCAATATCGAGAACAAATTAATATTGTGAGTTGAAGTTTATTAATAAACATTTAAATTAGCTCTAGTTGTACTTGGTTTACCACCAAACAAACGAGCGACAAGATTTAGAAAGAAAAGTAATCAGTTTTCTCAGCTGTAAATTTTTAAGTCTTTTCAGACTCTAAGTTCAAGAGCTTTTAAGCACAATTTTAAAACATTTTTTACTAAAATCATACGCTGTACTAGCTGTAGTGTTACCATCCTAAAAAAGTACAATATCTATGCAAAGTATTTAGATGCAACAAACATTAAGTTGTTTAATAAAAACCAAAGATAATAAATAACCGCAACCATGTCTAAACACACAAATATATTTGAGAAAGTCGAGCTTAAACAGCACCCTTGTCCACGTTTGTAAATATTATTGTAGGCACATTTAATAAGTATAACAGTGATAAAGAGAGTTTAAGTTACTTCACATGAGATTTTAATTATTTTCAATAAATATTTTCAAAAATATGTTATTTTTCACCCCAAAAAAATATATTTAAGTAATTACTGAACGATATCAGTACCTACATAACATTTCATGTAATTACAAAGTTGTTCCAGTTACGTTTAGAAAACTTCGGAAATGCTGTAAAGGGTAAAATATTCTATAAATGCCAGAAGCGCACAGATAGGTGGAAGAAGAATAATTGCGAGAAAATGAGGCAGCCTGTGAAAAATAGAAGACAAAAGAATGAATGCACTTTGAATTTTTATTGTTAATTGATTTTAAAATGTATCTAAAGTAATTTCTGAGAAGATTCTCTAATTGCAGAAAATTACATCAATAAAAAGCGAATCTAAACGCATTTTTATGCAAGCACAGCTATTTAGCTAAAATCTTGCTACTCCTTGAGCTTCGATAGGAAAATTGATTTCCGGAATAATTGGAATAATTCTTACATCAATGAAGAATCTTACTATACAGGGTTGCTCATTAGTGCGTCAAAGTGCGATATCTCAGTAAATATGAACTTTACAAGAAAATACGTCCTACGAAAGTTTTTCATGTTTAA